TCGTAGCGTTATTGTTATGATGTGGGAACTAAAGCTCAATTATGCCAAGCAACAGCTGCCGTACGCGCAATAACCACAAAAAGCATGCTAAGTTCGGTCGTATACACAGGTTTCTATGAGTTTTCTTCGATAACAGGGGCCTAGTGCATCATAAATTTTTGCAACAAAGTCATACGGTCAATAAGTATATTATCTGTTAATAAAAAATATTGAGATGGGTAATGGTTAGTAAATGTTGGTGCCAAGTTGGGTCTGGGTGATTTAAAATCAGTGCCAAGCTGGCTACTGGTCATTAAATCTTGGTGCTGGGTTGTATAATCAATTTAATTAATAGCATGGATATGTAAAACATTTGTGTTACTCCCAAAAACATTGATAAGTAACAGAACATTTAGATGACTATTGGAATTAAAATATATAAAAAGCCCATTTTCAAAATTTTATTTAAATAAAAGAAGACTCAGAGAAGAAGATTTAATAATTTGAGATAAGGCTTCAGTGATTAGACTATTACTTACTAAAATATATATGTTTTCGTAATAAAATTATTGTTTCAGGTAGTGATACTCCTCAAATTTTCTCTGGAATTAAGATAAGTAATACGAGTGCAGTTGTTGAACAAACAATGAAATTATTAGTTCTTTGGTCATTTTCCTAAGTTTTAGAATAGTACGTGAAAATTTGTTCTACAAACAAATTGAATACTTAATTATTTTCAATAATCGGAGAAGAAAATATGAAGTATTATGAAATTTGATCAAAATGAGAAATTAAAGATGTTTGTTTGAGAAATTTTTGTAGTTTTACTAGTTTATCAGTAAATACAAATATTTTTACTTTATACACAGAGTATATTTGTTCCCTAAACAATAAAATATAAAATCAGATAACAGGAAAAGCAAATAAAGTGTTTATACTGCCTTGTATAAGCAGGTAGATAAGAGTAATAAAAATATTTATAAAAAGTTTCGTGTAGATATTATAGATAGCATCAAAGAAGGTCTTTTACCCACTGAGTTACATTTTGAAGTACGTGCAATAGTAATATTAATTAGAAATAATTGAATAATTGATGGCTTATGTAATGGAATAAGAAATGACAAAGTTTTATAAATGTAATATTATAGCAGAAATCATTACTTAAGACACATTTTTGTACCTTAAATACCTCTAAAGACAGACAATACGTCTTCTTTATCACATTTTTTATACAGAAAGAGACTTTTCCAAATCCTAGGATTTTTAATAATCATAAATAAATTACAAGTTTGAGGTCTTGGTACAGTTAATTTATATTCGTATTAACTATTATTTTATAATAGTCAGTTATAAATATTAAATTTATGATTAACTATTAAAAGATAATGGTTTTAATAACCATAAATTAATAACAAGGGTAAAGTTTGAACAAAGTTGGTTCATATATATATAAGAACCATTATTTTCTAATAGTCAGTTATAAATATTAGGTGTGCTGATCTATTTAGTTCATAATTAACATATAAATTACATTGAAGTTAAAAGACTTTTGAAATATTAGTGAATTTATAGATATAGCCTAATTTTTCGCAAGGTAGAGAAATTATTTTCCTGCACAATTGTTGTGAGTATATTTTTGGGTAGTTTCCAAAAATTACCGCCTTTTTAGTCACTTTCGAAAACAGCCATTTTTTAAGTGAGTCTCAGAGGTTTCACAGTCTTTTTTATATAATGATGCCAAGGCCTAGTTTTTCTTTGAATCGATAGATTATTTCTAACGATACGGTATTTACTATTACTCATTAAAAAAATGAAATATTTTTCACAGTTATTAGTTTACATTTAATAAGTCATGAAGCAGAATGTTTAATTTCCTAATTTAAAATCATATTCTTCAATTTGCGTTCATGCACATGAACGGTCAGTTTATTCATTGCCTACACCAACTTTCTTTTCCAATGTAAAAATTTGCCACATGTTTATCGTTTTCTGCCGTATATATAGTGCCAACAAATGCTGACAAGATGGTAAGAGCTGATGTTGCCTGTATTATTTTAAAAGCTTTGACATAATTTTCTTAATAGTTGTAAATCCCAATGTTACAATACCGTAATCATTATTTAGCATAACTTCATTTTTAAAATTGCCATAACGTCACTTCAGAAAATAGTGGGTTGCTATTATTAATAGCCTAAAAGTACCCAGAAAAAATAGCGATTATCATGGTATTTCGCAGGTGCATGACATGCAGCGCTTTGAGTCGTGGAAACAGCTTCACATCTATTTCCCTTGGCTTGTTAGCGTCTGATCAACAGTACACAAAATAACAGGGTTTGACAATCATCGAAAAATATTTGAAGGCTTTCTTAATTACTTACAAATGCTCAGAGGATTAGTTAATTATCAGAAAATACTCTGAGAGATCCTCAATCGTAAATTCTTTGAAGGTCAAGTAGTATAATAGGATATCTGTTATCAATGAAATTCTATTTCTTAGTCATATCCCTATTGAAATCTTTTCATTACTTCACAAAGTAATAATTCGTTCCATAAAACTCAAACAGTTCTTCAATTGACACGTGCCACTAAACTCATGATTTGTAAATGAAAAACAAATTATTTCCCATTTGAATAGCATATGATTTTCATCCTTTAACTTTGCTTGATTGTTAAATTTTGTTTTTGTTTTTTTTACTATTTGCAAGATTTTTTTCAAATTTCTTAACTATAATACTTTTATACATTTAACTCAAATTGTTACACACTTTTATAAGCAGAAGAGAAATATCTTTGAAATATTCGGCTTAGGTCTTCAAAGCTTTTGATAGAAGCAAAACCGTCAAAAATCTGGAAAATAAAGCTTTTTAAGCTACATTATTCTGTACTTGGGGAGATCGTATCATAAGTTTAAGTAGTAAATAAGAAATCTTACAAGTTATTAAATGAACAAAAAATTTTTTAAGTATTAAAAAAATCTAAACTTAGTCAAATCGTTGTAACGTGGTGCCTGGAGGAAAAAGACGCAGGAAACAGGACGTACTTTTTTGTCCTGCTATGAGTGTTTTCAACCTGGCTTTTAAGGCCCACGAACCCTCGATAGCACTCCTGCACTCAGTTACTATACAGGTTAGACGACCTGTAAATCTTACTTACGTTACTGCTGTAAAACCTGACCGTCTCATGCTTTACTATGTTCCTGAGGCGTGGAGCAGTATTGAATATTAGATCACACGTACATCGTCAGTGCCACGGGACCCGTAGGCTAAATGACTCATACATATACATGCATTTTTAACTATAGATTTTTAGTGTTTTGAACATAAGATATATAAATTAAATCGTAAGTGTACAAATTCAACAAGTGAGAGTTGTGTACGTAGGTGCGTGTCGAAAAATTAACTATTAAGAGTGTAGTGATAACTCCTGGCGCTGAGACAGCAATTTTTTCTATGTTTATAGTTATGGTTGGCTTACCATAACTTTTATGTTTTATGCAACTGGCAGACCTTATGAACTGTGATGAAAACATAGGCCAAGTGTGGAATCACAGACTTACTTGTTTCACCAGCAGTGAAACATGAAGTTGAAGTCAACACAGAAGCTGGCAGGCGCTCCCACCAGCCAATCGTCATGGTTAGCATCGAAATTGCAGGCCCTAAGCTATCTGGGTACCAAGTCTCAGTTACGATCAGAAAAGACTTTCTCCTTCCTTCGCAATTGACAGACATTTCTAACTTAATCATGTTTTTTTCAGAAATCACTTTTGCACTCTCTTAGCTCTAAACCACCATGCATGGACTCCTAAGCTAGTGCGCCTTTTTCTGGCTTCTCTTTTTTCTTTCTCTCTAGTCCTACGAACTCTTAACGGCTGCTCTGTTGGAACATTAAAGTTCCATGCTTTTTAGATTGAAATTAAATAAGAATCTCATAATTTTTGACACTCATTTGCCAATATGTCTGTAAATAATGAACTAAAATCGTATAAACATGTTTCAAATTTTCTTAATTTATAATACCCACAAGGTCAAAAAAGTCCGATTGTTGTATTTATAAAACAGTTAAAGCAATCTACAAAAAATCCAATTTATTGCGATATGTTCTGATTATTCCCCCTAATTTAACAATCTTCTAAGGCTGTCATTTAAAGTCAATTCAAGAACGATATTCCTTGCATAAAAACAAAAATTTGTGTATTTCCTAATCTTCCCATAATAAAAGCATTGCTTTTCCTAATGACTGTGGCCTGGTATTATTAGCTGGATAGTAACAACCACCAAATTTATACTGGTTAGGTCGTTAGTGTGTTATAATCCATTACCTTATCATAGAAACCACACATTCTTACTATCCTAAATCTTAATGTACTAGAAGCTGCCCATAATTAACAGCGAAATTCGAAATGCAGTGTCCATGTAATAAAAAAATAACTATTTCATTAAATACTAATCTTCGATGAAATAGTACTTGTTTTGTTAGATATAATAGTTTTAATTATAAGATGCATAACTATTTTAAAAAATAATTAACTTGATCATACCATAAATAACGTGATATAAATATCACATATTCATATACGTGCCATATGAATATTATTACATTAAAAGCATAGATGTGTTACACGTGATGTTTGTTCCCAAACAAGTATTTTGATGTCTCATTTAAATTAAATTTTCCTATGAATTACTTTTATAATTTATGTTACACTTTTTAAAGTGTACCAAAAATCTGTTAAATTTTTAAATTTGGATGATGTACTATTTGCAAAAGCTACTTTGGTAATGACTGTTAACATGACAGACAAGCAATATTTTTTCCCCAATTGTTACTTGCAAAATTTATGGTTTTTACTCTTATAAAATGTAAAAACAAATGTATAAAGCAGCCCGAAATTTTTTTCGAAAACAGTAACTTAATAAGTAATTTTTTTTTCAATGCAAGCAGACTGTAGTAAAGGCGAATAATATAAAAGTGTTAGCATAATTGTTTCCCTGAATTTGTCAATAACGACATCGTCAAATTACCTGAGACATCCAGGGCTGGCTCCATCAAAAGCACGGCAACTATTTACTAAATTTCTGTTAAGATGTAAACATATATCTGCCTGCAAACAATCTGGAAAGCCATTTAAAACACTACTTATGTCAATACCATTGGTATATGTCCAAGCTCGCTGGAAATACTCCTCTAGACGCTGTCGTAATGGATTTGGAATTTGATGAAATTTAATAAATTCTCGAACACGAAGCATTTGAGTGTGATATCTTGCAGTTCCGCTGTAAAGTCTTTGAATGATTGCAGAAACATTACCAAATATACTTGCATACATTAAGGCTGAAATGAAGAACATTAGGTAAGAATTGTTCAACAGTTTGAAAAAAACCTATAGTATTTAAGATTCTTTGTTATAAATAAGAAAACAATTTTTTTTTTTTCAAAGAAAACAAAAAATGTTTTCTACAGTCTAACTAGAAAAATAGATGTCATGATAGGTACAGTGGCAAACAAATATTTTAAAGCTTCCTTAGGAAGATTATAGGATTAATAAAAATCTTTTTTCTCTAAAGTCAAGAAAAAGTACTTTAACCTTTTTATTTTTGTCTCACCACACAGACAATATCTTTTGCCTAGACTAGTGTAATCTGTTACGACTCATTTTTTGACTATGTAGGAAATTTTTAGAACACCGTTAGTTGATGATGGGACGTGGAGGGTTCAGGAGTTATCAGGAAAAGCAATGAAAATCACTAGTTTATTTTAAAGAAAAAGAATATATATAATTCCTTATTCGATACACCAATTTCGAGCCGCATACGCATCTTATTAACATGCAGCCCGTCATCATTTGACTTATCACCGTAAAAGGTCATTTCACCGCCATTCGCACCCTATAACTACATATTTCTTGCATTTTGCCCTTTTTTGGTAAGTTTCAATGTTTTTGCACTGTGGCTTATTGGTAACAGAGAAGTAAACCACCAAATTCTGATTAAATCAGCTGATATTAAATAGTAAAGCTAAGTTTTCCCACTTCATCGAGCCTATTTTTTAGCCTAAACGGCCTCAGACCTTTGTTTTTATTCGCTAGTTTGACCTTTTATACAACTTGAACTTTCCGCTCCTATCAAGGTCCATAATGTCAAACAGTGGTTTGATGGCCACGTGAACATGTAGCAAGAATGTTGCTATCCTGTTAACTGAATTGACGTGACAAAGACAACTGCTTTTTTAACATAAATTTACAAGGAATTGTGGCACAAAAAAAATACTAAGTAGACAAATAATGAGCAACAAAAATTACACAACTAAAATTTTGAAGGAATTTATCTGAATGAAGAATGAGAATAAATACGGTAAATTAATAAAAAGAAATTTACTCATAATGCACGAAGAAAAAAGTCCGAAGAGAAGAACCCAAGAGAAGAAAGAATAATGAGCGGTACAAATGAGTAAGGTTAAACAATATTTTTGAGATAAAGTTTTCTGGAACTAAGAGTGTAAATGAGTGTAGATAACGTATACGATCGCGCGTTTACCCGTGTTGCACGGTCCGTGATGTTGATTTTTGCTGTACCTTACTCGCAGCACACCAAGCTCCATAAAGATGATAAAGATGCTGATGACTGTTAGGTAAATGAAAACGTGAAGAACGCGAAACCATAAAAAGTGACATCTGGATACCCTCGTTCATAATGATGATGAGAAAGATGAGAAAGCCAAAAAGACGAATAACATACGGAACTATGCTAAAATACTCAAGATTGCAATTGACAACTGGAAACTGCTTTGAATAGATAGATAGTTCAGAACTGACTTGGCATGCCAACCCAAAGTAGAAGCAAGATCCCCTTTCCTTTTAATTCTCCCACCCATTGCAGTTGTCAGATCATGTTAATACCCTTAGACCTTGTGGGAAAAACTTCAGAAGAGTGAAAGAGAATAATGTAAAAAAATTAATAGAGGGACAGGGACCTACGACTGAAGGACGCTTTAAGAGAGCAAAAGAAATAGAGCTATAGTATGCATGACAGATAGGTCAAGAACAATTAGAGAAGGAGAAAAATATGTGGTTGATAAAATAAGGGGGAAAGGGGAAAGAGACAGGAAGTATAAGAGTTAAAAAAAAATGTATTAACTAAGAAAAATAAAATGAAAGATAAAGGTAAGCAAAAAGATGACTTGCTCTTTCATGTGTAAAAATGTAATGTAACGAATTTCTCGGAAGTTTGGTGTGCTGCCACTTTCAACGTGCAGTGAGGTTGATTATTTACTACTTATGAGGTGGCCTACGAATTTTAATAATTTTATACTAAACATGCTCTCCCCGTTATGAAAGAAAGCGAGGAAACCGAAAAATCGTGTGTGACGTATTTGTAAACGTTTCCACTGCGTAAATCGTATGATGTTGTGAGAGTGTAGTGAAGTACAAGTGTGGTGAAAATTTGTAAAAGGTTACATAAATCGTTCTTCATGCAACGAAATAGACAATATGATCGACAATTTGGTTTTCTTGCGACAATGAAATCGGGATGTGATCTGATGTTACGTTTGAAAATTCCTTGCACCGTTTTAACGAGGACGACTCGTCTGATCCCGTTAGTGCCTGGTTAGATTTTGATGAAAACTCCCAGCTTCTATCGCATACAGGGTTAATTTTTATCAATGAGGAGGATGACTAATTTTATTCTAATCTCATGATTGGACTTGTACCATTTTTTTTGACATTGCAGCTCATGAAGATATTATAGATGGCTATCACTTCCAAAAATCCTGTCGTGTTCTCGTCATACAACGACATGCTAATAGTTAATGATCTAGAACATAAGAAAGATCAGATTCTGGCAAAAAATTTTACAGTCTTCCAATTAATAAATGTGCCAAAGTAATAGCCGCTATTTCATCAGGATCATTTGATGTACAGTAAAGTGGTCTAGAGTAAAAAGTGGCTTTTATTTTGATAACGAGAGTATTAAATATTTTTAAGGTCAACGGTTATTCTCTATGGTGGTTTAACAATTTTACCACCAACTCTTAAATCCTACCGAAGTGTGGTGAAAGTGGGGGATTGAAATACCGAATAATATCTCTCTCAACTACAAAATGATCAAAATCGTCACGAAACTAATCAAAGTTAAACAGAACGTACATCTCTCGTAATTTGTTACTTACTCTGAGAAAATTCATGTTGTTGTCTAAACACATGTTTGGGAATTCCTTGTTGGCCACTAAAATGCTTTAACGCCTTTAAGAATCTTTCAATGGTTAAATAGCTTACTATTTCGATATATACTGCTTTCAATGCCATAAATACAAGCACACTAATATAAACTTTAACATGCTTGGAATTCCACAGTTTCCTCTCTTTAACGTACATTAGCCCCAAAAAATCTATTTCCTCGTAAGTAAACACTGTAATTTAGTAACAAATACTGATGACAAATCTTCCGTTTTACTATGAATCAAATTGGAACGATGTCACATGCATTCTATGCATTGTCGTACGATTCAAACTTATTGCTTTCTGGAAAACAACCAATAATTCTGTTTTATAGTATAAAACGTAGTCTAAATTCCCACATGCCAAGTACGGTAGTATGCATCTTGAATTATTGGATCAGATATATCATAGTGTGATGGCATGAAAATTTTATACCTGAATAGAAAAACAACAACGAGGAACAAAGAACCGCATAGCTCTAGTTGCGTATGAGAGCAAGCTGACTCATGAACTCCACATATGGTAAATGAAATTTCTGCAGTACCGATTCATTCTACTTGCATTTTTGTTTTCAACAATCCTGAATAATTATTTTCGTGTGATTTTACTTAGAATTTAAGTTGCGTTAATGATGTAAATAAACGTATCCGATCGCAAATCCATAGTTACCCCAAATTTTTTTTAAACTGCCGTCGTCTTTATCACAAAATCACTCTTAAATATTTTCCGTCGTAGTGTAGTAATAACATTTGGTTAAATGGTTGGCCATACCATTTAAACAAAACTTTTTGAACACTTGATGTGATTTTGATCTTATAAATGTATTTCAACGAGAGACATACAGAAAATGTTTTAGGGAGTTTAGTGCATTTTGACGATAGGTAATATCAGCATATTTTTTGGTACTATGCAAAAGAAATCGTGAATTATGAACTGAACACGGTCACGTTTAAGGTCACCTCTGCTCCATACCTCGTAATATCAACGTTTTGTTAGTAAGCTGACAACGAAGGGCGTAATTATCCTTAAGCAGCCAAAATTTTTAAATGTAATTTATACGTTGACGATCTATTAACAGGTACTGATTTGGTCAGGGAACTTTTAAGGGTTCATGACAAAATTGTTGGTACAAAATTTTTAAAAGTTATACTGTGGTAAGGACAGAGATAGTTTTGAAAACATTTGGGGTAATTTGAGATTTGTGATCGTGTACGGTTATTTAAATCATCAACGAAATCAGAACTCTAAGTAAAATCACACAAAAATAATTATTCAGGATTGTTCCGAACAAGAATACAACTAGGATGAATTGGTACCGCAGGAATTGCATTAACCATACGTGTAGTTTGCGAGCCAGCTTGCTTTCATAAGAAATTTTGTAAAAGACAGATAAATCCTTATCTATAAGCCTAAAAAAATCAATTTCCGTGGATTTTGCGATGCTAGTCTATAAGGTTGCAGTACATATTTTTATTTGCATTCAGTAGTTCAGTATGAAAATTAAGTTGTGGATGTTGTATAAGCAAGGTCTCAAGTAGCTCTGGTCAAGTCAAAAACGATCCCGTAAGTAGAGCTGTGTAGTTCTCTGCTTCTCGTGGGGTTGTACCACGAAATGCGTTCATCTGTTGAATTTGATATAAATTACCTAGTATATTAATCAGACTTTACAATCGTGTTGCATTGACTCAAAAAATTACTGGAAACCTTAAAAATTGCTCACGCAAAAAGCGTTAACAAGATTAAAGCCCTAAATATAGTTAATAAATAGATGCATGTGCAAACGAAGAATAATCCAGCTGATGCGCTATCCTAAGGTCAATTACCAACCAAGTTTTTAGAAAATTGAATGTGGCTGCATAAACCCAAGTGGGTAACACAACGCAGAAGTGGGTGATCGAGAATTGTGTTTACATGACCAAACGAATTGCCAGATCGAAAGAGCAAAACGTGTATTTTAGTAAATTTAGAGGTAGCAGTATTCTTGCAATTTTCATCATACGACCGTAATTGACAATACACAAACAGGATACAAATACGGGCACTCACCATTTTAGTGTTTTTGAATGCTTTAGCGTACGTAAGAAAACGGCGTCGCATAAAGAAATAATGAAGGCAC